CGTGGACGCTTATATCAAATGACCGGAACGCATACGACTGTTCATTGGCTTCCGAAATTCAAAGGCTATTGTATATGACAGCGGTGTTTGCAAGGCAGGACGTATGCTGTAATTCGTGTCCGGTCGCCACCCTTTCACTCACAGTCTGTTGACCGAGCGGAATGCTTCGATGGCACCCTACCGCATGCGCTTCAGAAGTCCGAATTCCCAGAATGTCCTTGCTGCATACTTTCTGATTATGATGCGCTATACGTGTCTTAGACCTGGTTTTGGGCTTATATACACTTGAACTCTTCGTGCTCCTTGTGCCTAAAACGCTAGTTTGAGGCTATGACCCGAAATTGAACTGAGATAGGTTATTAAACTAAATCATCATCATCATTGTCAGCTGTAATAACCGCGTACTCGTCGTATAGTGGTTGTAGCTACCGCAGTTTCGTTCACCGATGATTTGGGAGGGGGGGGGTAGTTAGCTGTGCATTGGGGGCGGGAGCTGATAAATTGGTGCATAGATCCAGCACTGTCAGTGGGCTGTCAACTGGGGGGGGAGTTGGAAAAGGAGCTATGCATTAAAGACAATAGCTTCGACGCACGAGTGCCATTGAGGGCGCGACTGGGCCATGTCTGACAATGTCTGTAGCCATTGATGTGGCCCGTCTCGGGGTCCCCATCCAGTGACCAGCGCAGCTGAGTTTGCTGATAATGGCTTTCATACTTCGCTGTCAAGTCATTGTTTGACCGCCTCTTCCACCCTTCACGTGTTTGTGCGAAAAGAGCCCTTCGAGGAAGTCGGTCGACTGGCATACGCAGCATGTGAGCAAGCCAGCGCAACCTGTGCAGTGTGATCAGTTCATCTATCGAGGGTGAGTTAATTCTCCCGAATACAGTTCGATGTACTTCAGAATTGCTGATCCGGTGTTCCCACCAGACTCGGGTAATGCTCTGGAGAAATCGATGGTCAAACACTGAAAGTCTTTTGACGTCCTCGGCGCGCAGCGGCCAGGTTTCTGATCCATATAGTAATATGGAGCACACCGCATCATTGTAAACTCGACCCTTGACAGAGAAGCTGATGTCACGCCTATGCCGCAGGTGAAGTAGGTTCTCAAAAGTTGCTCTGGCCTTCCCAATCCGGATGGAAATATCATCTTTCGCCAGACCACCGGGACCGATACAGCTGCCCAGGTAAACAAGTTTGTCTACTACCTCAATTGGTTCATCCGCAAGCATGAGGCTAGGTCTTGCAGTAGCACTGCAGGTGTGAAGCGCATGCCGAACTGCGAGGCAGGATTGTTTAGATGATCCAGTATTGTTTGCATTGCCACAGCGTCAGATCCACGAAGAGCTATGTCGTCTGCGTACTCGATGTCCGAGCGGAGGCCCAGGGAGCACTTCGACCCCACCGGCATTAGAGGCTGGTAGTGAGTCTTCCATGATCGTATCAATGACGAAGTTGAAGAGGAAAACTGAAGGAGGGCAGCCCTGTTGGACACCACTTGATGTGGTGAACTCAGGAGAAAGCTTCTCGTAGACCTTTACTCGGCCGCGGGAGTTGGCGTACAGCACCTTAATGAGGGTCAAGAATTTATGGGGGACACCTTTGCTCCACAGACACTGTCATAGTGCTTGGCGGTCCACAGAGTCAAAGGCAGCTTTCAGATCAAGAAACACAACCATTGTTGGTTGCTGGAAGCAGTGTCGCTGTTCCAGAATCTTGCAGAATTAAACCCAGTTTGGTTTTCATGGATTTGCCTCTCTCTGTGTTCAGTCAGCCATCGAGGGATAAGGCCAGAGAGCACCTTCGATGCCACAGCTAACAGGCTGATGCCACGGTGGTTTTCACATAGCGTCCGTGTACCTTTTTTGAAGATAGGGATAACTGTCGACATGCCCCATTCTGCAGGCACTTTCTCTTCGTCCCACATAGTGCCAATAAGCTTTGTCAGGTGGGTCACCAGGGAATTTCCGCCTTCTTTGAAGAGGGCTGGATACAGACCGTCCGATCAGTACGGCTATTTCGTATATTATTTCTTCCGAAGTGCGATCAAGGTTTACATTCCATTCGCCTGTATACATTATCTCCACCGGCTGTGTTGCATGAGGCCAGCTGAACTGCCTTTCGAAGTGTTCGGCCCATCTCTCCAGTTGACGTTTTTGCGAGTGAATTAATGAGCCATCTTTTCCACTTATCGTTTCGCTGACCGTTGCTTTCCTAAGACCAGTCGATCGTATCAGTTGATAAAGGGCACGGCTGTTTCCCGTAGCAAAAGCCTTCTCCAACTCCCGAGCTTTCGATATCCACCAGAGCTCTCGGTCTTTCCTCAGACTCTTTACTATTCGGCGTTTGAGGGATTTGCGTGCGCCGTCGTACTCGTTGCTGGCTGGTATGGCTTTCCTGGCATCAATCATGGATAACGACCTCGACGACATTCAGTGATCTTGTGGTTGAATTGGAGAAGTCGGGCGGGCTGGCTGAACGCCGCTAGCATAGCTCCTTTAACATTTTGCCTCGCGTCATCCACATGCTCGCTGCCACCACAGTATTGTTTTACTGTGGAAAGTTGTTGGGCTAGCTCAGATTGATAGTGTTGACCTATGGCAGTTCTTCGAAGATAGTGGATTGGCATGCTTCTTGCCGACTTGCGAGGGCCTGAAGGGAAACGAACTGTCAAGCGTGCGCGCACCACG